CCCCCCCCCCCCCCCCCCCCCCCCGCACTTCAAATAAAACAAGTTGGCTTAAAAAAACTACAGGGAAACCTCCTCAGTTATGTCATTAATAAGATATTTACAAGTGGTGGTTTAGATAAAAATTGATTTATTTTATTATGCTTACTTGCAGGTGATATTGTGGGAGCAACAGAGCTAAAAGGCCCCAATAAACTAAAGATATAGTGATCTAAACTCTAAAGTCAACAACAAGTAACTTCAGTGAAGAGAATAACTTAGGGGAAGGGGGTTTCGGTGACGTCCACAAGGTAATTAAACCTTATTTATGAACACTCTTTTACCTTAATATTAGATCTATGGATCCTCTCCATGGGGGAGGAGGAGGACTCTCCTTGGCCAAGCAAAAACCATTCTCATTAGTGGCAAACATGTGTCTGAGTTTTAACTAACTATTAAATTTTTCTAGACCTCCAGGAGAGTTTTGGGCGGTACCAAACATGTGTCTAACTATTAAAAAGTAAAAGCAAAAATAAAAATAAAAGATGAAGCTGGCTATTAATAAATAGAACTTGTTTGTTAAACAGGGCACTTTGAAGAATGGAAAAATAGTTGCTGTGAAGAAATTGGCTATAGAACAATCCAAACAGATGGAGGAAGATCTTGAAAGCGAAGTGAAGCTCATAAGTAACGTTCATCACAGAAATCTTGTTCGACTTCTAGGGTGTTGTACCAAAGGACTAGACAGATTCCTTATATATGAGTACATGAAAAACAATAATGTTGGCGAATTCCTATTTGGTATACGCCCACACAAACGCCTAACTAAATCATTTTAGAGATTCTCCTTGTTCAGAACCATAATCATTTTATATTGTTATAATCTACTGAATAATTGAATGTGGAAACAGGGGAAAAGAGAGGTTCTCTCAACTGGAAGCAAAGATACAGTATAATTTTAGGGATTGCAAGGGGTTTGGCATATCTACACGAAGAATTCCATGTGTGCATTATACACCGAGACATAAAACCATGTAACGTACTTTTGGATGAAGCTTTTCAACCTAAAATTGCTGATTTTGATTTGGCAAGACTTCTACCAAGAGACCAATCTCACATCAACACCAAATTTTCCGGAACGATGTAAGTACAAAAGCAACTACCACATACATAGTAAAATAGGAAATTCATTATTACATGATTTCTGCTTCTACCCAACATACATAGATTTTTGGGAGAAAGACTAAAATATGAATAAACATAAGGAATGAACTAAAATATGATTTTCATGTTTATATCCTCAATGTAAGACCTATAATGCCATCATTTGATACCAAAGAACACTATGGAATGGCAATACACAGTACCTCATTATCACATTTTATCACAGTGCAATAATCCTCTTTTGGACATAAAAACACGCCCCTCCTATTTTGAGGAAAAGGGCTATGATTTGCTCCTACTTTGGGTGGTTTCTGTAAACTTTTATACTCCATCCATTTCTATATGGCTCTCATTTGATTTTTGCGTGTTTTCAATATACTCCATGCCGTAATATTTTAATTATCCATATCGATTTTTATACATAAATATTTTAAAAATATGATATCCTAAAACTATATGTTAACATTTATCTAATTACATTAAGTAACTTACATTATAACTCAAAGTATTTTTCTATATATTTTGATCAAATTTTGTAACTTCGTCAAAGTGTTACGTTATGAAGCCGGATGTAATATTCATTGTTGTCAAGTCGTCGCCGAGTAGTCATCCAGGCATTTTCTGAATAGCGACTTGCACGTCGACTAGCGACTAGGGTAGACTAGGCGGCTGGGCGAGCTAAGCAACGCCTAGGCGCGCCTAGGCAATGACTAGTCTGTGAAGAAAACCTACCCAACCAACCCGATTTGACCCAACCCGACCCAAATTTCATTAAACTTTAAAACTTACTAAATAAAACACAACCTTCCTCGATCAGTTCAACCAACACAATCCAAATCCATTGAATCAAGATTTAACTATTCCAAAATCGCGACACCTACTTCATCGACATCTTCTAGAGTTCGCAGTTCCAGAATCAATTTTTTGGAATTGATTCTTCTTCATCTTCTAGTACTCACACACTCTCTATCCATAAGTAACATCTCTCTATTTTTAATTATTTATCATTAAAGTATACTCTTAATTTGGTTTAGTTTTCTTTAATTTGGTTCATTAGACTATTAAAGTATATTATACTCTTAATATTTCAGTTTTATTAATTTTTTAGTGACTTTATGTTCTACCTTTAAACATAATTTTATTTTGGTAATGATATTTTGTCATATTAATATATATAGTTATCTTGGGTGAATGAAGATATATATATATATATATATATATATATATATATATATATATATATATATATATATATATATATATATATATATATATATATATATATATATATATATATAA